AATGCTTACTCTTAATTTTATATTTGGGCTTACTCTGACCAAAGATGTTAAGTGGCAATCTCTTTTTTAAGCTAAGGAATCTTAACTGTAAACACAACTATTTCTTGAATACCTTCTTTGAGCAAGATGCTGTGCTAGGCTCTGTAAATAATATAAAGATGAAAATTTCTCCCTGCCTTCAGGAGCTCACATCATGGACAGAGACACATACATTCATTCACTCCAAATATTGAGAATTACCATATATGCTGGAAATGTGCTGATAACTTTATACCCATAGGTGATGGTGTATTGTGAATTCTATAACAGAGATACAGAATTATTTTAGATACTATGGGAAAGCAGACACAAGTTTGGATTAGGGATTGCCAGTAAGGATTTCATTATTCAAAATTGGCCATGAAGGGTTGATTGGACTTGACAAGTGAGAATGGAGTGGGAGGAGGACATTCTTGGCAGCAGGGACTGTATGTGCATGTATAGTCATAGATAAACTGAGACTCAAAACGTACGCTTAGTTTTGGTAAGTTTATTGTGTTCCCATACTACACAATACTTCTATCCAATCAATTATAAAAGAATGCCACTATGATGTAATGATCCAAAGGCTACTCAGACCATTTTGCCTCTTGAACAGCATATAATCACATGGGAAAACGTGATTACTTTAGTGGCAGCTGGTTGGACTAGATAATGGGTAGTGATATGAATCTGTCTATGGGTCTCAAGGGCTATAATCAAGTTGCCAACAGGGCTGGGTTACTTTTTGGACTCTCTCAGGGAGAACTGTTTCTTTGCTTGTTTAGGCTGTTGGCAGAATGTATCCTCATGGCTTTAGGACTCATGCTTTCATTTCCTTGTTGGCTGTCAGCTTGGGGGCTATTCCCAGTTTCTAAAAGTCACTCTCATGTCTTGGCTCCTGAACCCCTTCCTCCGTACTCAAACCGGCAACTCTTCTGCCTTCCCTTCCACTTTTAAGGGCTCACATGATTCCACTGGGCTCACCTGGATAATGCAGGATACTCTCCCACCTCAAAGTTCTTAGTCTTCATCATATCTACAAAGTCCCTTTTGCCATGTAAGGTGACACATTCACAGGTACCAGGGATTAGAGTGTGAACATCTTTGGAGGACCATTATTTGGCCTACCATACGGTGCCTTTATCTCCTCAGATCCCTCCTGGAAGCGTAGCCAGTGGCAGAACAGAGGGCCACTTATGCTTCTGTTAGTGTGTGGTGGGTATCAGCAGCAGCATAGCTGGAGACTGAGTCCACTGTGAGAGATGATGGATTTCAATTTTAGTAACCCATTAATGGACCCAGAGTCCAATGACACTTTTGAAATAAGAAATGTAAATTTCTTTTCTTTCTTTTTTTTTTTTTTTTGCATGGGGGAGGTAATCAGTTTCGTTTATTTATTTAGTTTTTCGATGGAGGTACTGGGAATTGAACTCAGGACCTCGTGGATGCTAAGCATGCGCTCTACCACTTGAGCTATACCCTTCCCCCCAGGAAATGTAAATTTCTAACTTGACATTTTCTTAACACTTAACATTTTCTTAACACTTAACAGCCATAAGCTAGACAGTATAGGAAACATGGAATTCAAACGACAGCCCTGGCCTAATGGATTCACAAATTAGTAAGATGGAGGGAGAAGCAGCATGATGATGGTGAGGCAGACCCTAAGGAAAGGAAGAAACAGAATTAGGGAGGGCTGAGCCACTGGCACAGATTAATAGAATGTTAAAGCTGTTCAAAGTACCTGAGATATCATTTAGCCATGTCCTGGGCTTTCTAGGAAGTTTCTTGGGAACAGACCCTCCCCTTACAGCTTGTTCACTGCTTTATCTCCAACATCTAAGACATTGTTCACCACTTGGTAGGTGCTCAACAAATACTTGTTGATTGACTAGTGTGAAATTCAGAGAGGTCAACTGCTATGATTAAGGACACACAGCTGGTTTATGGTAGAGCTGGGTCTAGAAACTGGTTTTGATTCTTCATTCTTTAATGAAATTTAGGAGGCAGCTCCTAGAAAATGAACTACTCCAACAGATGAAGCCTTCTGTAATGCACTCTCTCTACCTTGTACATAGCATTTCTTCTTCCTATATGAAATATTACCAACCAAACCTATCAATTTAATGTCTGAAATGTGAGTTGAGAGACCCGAGTTCTGTTCTTAGTTCCTCTAACCACTTCCTTTGTGACTGAGGCAAATGACGTAAACTGTCCAAATTCAGTTTCTTCTTTGATCATGAGAGAGGCTAAAGGTCCTTTCAGTTCTCGTGTCCTGTAATTCCAAATTTCATGAAAGGTAATTAACAAGCTCACCTGTGGACCGTGTGTCTGCATGTCTTTGTATCAGTGTTCTTGAGGTGTGGTCAGCACATCACCTCTATCAGAATCACCTGGGGTCCTTTAACTATGCTGATTTTGTAATTGTTAAAAAGAATACATTAGACACATAGCCGTTGATTCAGAGAGATTTCCATTAGGTTATGCTTCCCAATTTTTTTCACCTTTATAGTCACGCTACACATAAAAAGTGATCGTATTTATGTGGTGTACTAGGGTAAGAAACCTTAGACTGTCTCTTTGCCAATGCACATCTCACTGAGAAACTTCGCCACTGAGTGAGAAAAATAGGTTGCAGGAAAAAAAATGTATGATCCCGTTTTTCAAGACAACGCCAAAACTCTGCATGATTATATAAAAGCATGTCTGTATGAATATGTATTATATGTTTGTATACATTTGTGTGAGACATATTATGTGCTTGTATGTATACAATATTATAATATTGAAAGGAACGTACTAGGTTGTTAAGTGAAGTGAGAAAAGAAAACAAAAAAAAATTTTTTAAAGGTTTAAACCTTTTTAAGGCTATTCGTAGCATAGTATATGCTATGAATGCATTAATGCATTTATATAAAAGAATGTATTCTTATATAAAGACATTTTAAAATAAAATTAAAAATGTAAGTCCAGGGCCCCCTGCCTTAGAGCCTGTAAAGCCAAGTCTCAGGGTTAGGAGATATGGAGAAGTAGGTGTCTGCATCCTTACAAATATTCCAAGTGATTCTGTAACAGTGAAGTCTGTAAATCTTTGCATTAAGTGCTAATATCATTAGCCAAAAACACAGCATAGTGGGAACTTTCCATCCTGCAGTGCAGGCTCAGCTGATCCTCATTGTCTTGGAACCTAGTAGATGCATAATAAACAGAAGCTGATTATTTTGAGCCAATTGGAGGACAGGTGGAGGGAGTCAGGGCCAAAGTGGTGAGAGAAGCCCATCAGGCAATCAAGATCAGGAGAGATGAGGAAAAACACATAAGAACAAAGGACTGCGCCCCCTTAGCATTTTCGAACATTCAACGCTATTTGTTAGGCACTAAATACATCCAAGACACTTTTCTGTATCTTATTTAATTCTGAAAAAACTCGTTACAGACTTAGAGAGGTGAAGTGGGTAGCACAAGTAGTATCAGAAGTGGGATTTGAACCTGCCACGTTTTGAGCTCTGAGCTATAAACTAGATTCCTGGCAGCTGCTGAGGATAGGAGGGCAAGCACAATAGATTGCTCTTTTTCACATCCCCAATCTTGCATCTCTACCATGATTATTCCCGCCTGCTGTGTCTTTATTAGTTGACATTCCAAGTCAGCTGCCTAGAAGCAGCTTCTTTGTCATATATTCCATTCTGGAACCCCTCAAAGAGAGATTACAGCAAACGTGGTTTTTTGTCTGTCGTCTCTAGCTAGTGTTTTCACAATGAGGAGAAACTATTCCCAGGTGACTTTGTATAATGCAAAAAGGCCAAGAAGACTAACTCTAGTTCCTTCCAATTCTGAGTGAATTAGACCTACCAAGTGAAAATAATTCTGGCTTTTTGTAGTTTTATCTGCTAAGTGTTTTGCCGTTAGAGCAAGAGGAAGAGAGGGAAGAAAGAGATGCCCTCTGAGTTCAGGGGTGGGGCAATGAGAGGTACAAATAAGTTCTTCACACATACTCATTTTTTGGTCATCTCTGGTGTCGGGTAGTGAATAGGAAAAAAATCAGAGGTGTGTATTTTGCTAGAAAGAAAACAAAAATTGCATCTTTCCGTCATCCACTAACATTAACTTAAGGGTCTTGCTCTCTGCACCTGTGCACCCCCTGCGATCATTTCCGGGGAAGTAGCCATTTTGCAGATTCTGGAGGATGATGCCAACGGCCGGACCCTGGTACAGAATCTCTTTTCCCCAAACCTACGTGGAGCCAGTCGGGATCTTCAACGCCAATACTGGTTTCCGGGATTTAGCAGCTACCTAGAGTCGGAAAAACCGGAAGACGGGAAGCTGGGATTCCCAGGTGTGCCAAATTCATTAGCTAGGATCAGGCCTCGCGGGTGTGATCTTTGGAGACTCGTGAGGAGCTTCTCCAGTTTCCCGCGCCTCTCCGCCGGGTTAAGCAGCCATTCCTTCCCTAGGTGTGCAGCCTGCGTCCCAAACTGCATTCCCAACCTGGGGCAGTGGGGTCAGCTTACGTCTTTCTTGCCCACAAAGTGCCACCTCTTCCCTAAACTACGCTCAGCCAAAAGGGGGCCGGCTGCCTTTAAGTCGATTAGACAACTCGGCCCGTCTTGATGCAGAATCTCGGTCGGGCCTCACCGCCGCTCTCTGCTCCCAGCTCCCTCCGCCCCTAGTTCCTACTCGGTCGTAGCCAAAGCCCGGAACGCTGGATCCCGGCGCGAAGGAACGGGGCGGCGAACCAAGAGCGGCGCGGGCGGCCGGGAGCCCGGCGCACCGGGCATGCTCAGTGGCACGGCCGGCTGGGTGGCCTCGCGAGCTGCACCC